TTTTAATTTAATTTAAAACGAATAAAAATATTATTTATCTAAATAAATATTTCTATATAAACAAACTAAAGCAATAGTGCCAATTTGCCACTAACTAAATTGAACGTAGTCTATTCATGTAATCAATCAATATATATATATATATATATATATATATATATATATATATATATAATAACATGCATGCACGATGGAACAACCTTTTTATAAAACAAAATTAAAAAAAAAAAAAACAATCAATTTGTCGTCTTCCCATAATACAAAGGGATTGCATGCACTAAGGTCGAGAGATGAAAAGGAAGTATGATGGTTAATGGAAGGTTACGTGAGTGAGGATTTAGAAAGCTGTCTACTTGATTATGTGGTTGTAGCTTTCCCAGCAGGACCATACCCTTTTATCTTCCATTGCAATGCCCTAATTCAAGAATCACCACTTTACCATTCCATATCTAAATAACCCATTCATGCACGTGATCTTCAACTTGCAGCACACTTCCTACCTTTTAGAAACTGGCAAACTTTCAATCTTAATTGGTTTTTCCGTTGATTTTAATGTTATCAACCATTTGATATAATTGTGATTTATTTGAGATCGATTATAGTGCAAATATAAGTGATTTAAGAGGTTCTAATAATTTTGCATCGATATGGGCTGGTTTTATGTATTCAAATCAGTAGATTAATAGGCAAGATTCATTTGGGACTAATGGGATTTACATATATGAGATATGGTGGGGAAATTGACGGGGGTGTGACCATCTTTTCGTACCATCTTTAAACATGTTACATATCCAAACAAAACCACCAGATTCTGTAAGGAGTGGGGTCTAGAGAGTATAGGATGTTACATGATATATACCCGCTTTTTAAGTATTGTAAATATTGTTTAAGATAACAAGATTAAGCCATTAAGGGGCTATTTGGTTTTAGCTTAACAAACTTGATATTTACATGTGTGGCTTATCCGGTAAGCCATTAACGAGTGTTTGTCTGTGGCTTATTCGTGAAGAGCATAACTTGCTTGCTCAACCACTTAGAGTGAGCTTATTAATCTAGACAGCCATATTTTTCCATCCCTACCATTCTGAAGACACCTTCTCCCTGGAACGATCTGCACTCAAGGCCCTCCTCCGGTGCTTCTTCCTGCGGCCTTGCCTCCGTTGCTCCTCGTGCTCAGAAAAAGGAGAGAAGAGAAGTACAATAACCAGAATCTAGAGATCGGCATAACGGATCTATGGAAGATTTCTTAGGGATCGATAAAATGGTAAAAGTCGAAGAGAAGAAAGATTATAAAAGATTTTAGGGAGAAATGCAAAAAAGCGGAGGAATCGTTGGACTTAACGAACGCAGAGGTTTATGCAAAATCAGGAGGGTTGATTAATTTATAGCGGGTGAGGGAGTTTGGCATCTTTTAGGGAGGTTTATGCAAAATCTATTTGTAATTCTTTTTGTCTTCAATGAATCTAGTTTTAGGTTTTCTTCTTGCTTGGGGGATGGAAATCTCATGTTCATAATCCGTTTGTAGCTGTACAATTTACCAATGGATTATCGATGGGGACCTAAGTGATAAATAAATTTCTATAGGTAATTATATTGACGCTGTCATATTCTGTCGCAAGGTTTTCGTTAATCCGTCGGTAGGTAGCAACGACTAATGACATATTTACTTTTTCGACAACCCCTCGTTAATATGTTGATAAATCATCTATATTTTTTTTTGGTTTATACCCGTGTAGATATGTGTTCTCTTGTTAGACTCTCGGTAAATTACAGAAGGGCTTTGTTGGCGTCGGTAATTTCTGTTGGTGAAGCTCTTGTCCCGGTGGTGATTATGGACTTTTATGGTAATTATTATGGCAATCGACGGTATTGTGTTATTATAATTGTTATTTCGAGATCTTTTCCCTACTACAAATTCGGATTTACAAGACGTCAAAATTGTTTAAGTTCTATACATAACACATTGTTGTATAAGGCTTAAGTTTATGGGAGCAAACAAAAGTGTTACCATAAGTTTACTCAATGTTTTTGAACCTCTTAACAGATGTTTAATTAGGATATATTTTTATACAAAATGTCATATTAGCTCTGTTAGAGCATCTCCAATTAATGCACTCCCAAGATTTACTCTTTAATTATTATAGGGAGTCATATGATAAAACCTCACTCTAATGCACTATTTTTATCGGTCGTATAAACTTAAGTCATAAAACAGTCTATTAGGATTTTTAGATATTTTTTCCGTTCTATAAATTCGTGTCATATTGTTGGTTGTGGTTGTTATATTGTGCTTAGTTTGTCATCTACTTGTTTCGAGACCCGAAATATCCTGCCTTTATTGTTTTAAATTGGTTTACTTGCACCCGGTTTCGGTATTTTGGCCTACGGGATCATTGGTGGTTCATATTAATTGGCAAGATTGAACCCTTAGAAAGACTTTGTATGTGTGTACATAAGTAGGTGGCTTCTTTGACATAACTTTGTAAGCTTTATTAGAATTTGAAACACAAGAGGATCATGTGTTGATAAAAGGAACAATTGTAAGGATACAAGAACCCAATAAAGCAAATCTTTGGAATTCATGTTGTTAGAAGAGAAAGAAGCTATTCTGTTAAGCGATTCGGAAAGTGTTGCAAATCAAATGTACATCTGACACTTGCTTTATTAATACAATGCAACGAAATGGAGCTATAACGTAGTCTTTTCTTATTCCACTTCTGCTCAATGGTCTAGTTGACGTCAAGAGGCAACGATGAATGTGAATAAACTTGGTGATAGTTATTGAGGGATTCGCTACCATTATAATTAAATGAGGAAGATACCTCATATATGGTTCTAGTGCACCATACTTTCCTCTACATATGGTTCGTGAAATACACAAGAGGGAGCTAAAGATGATTTATCTGAGATAATGACAAATTTGATCATTAGAAAAGTTATTGGGGGTGAAAGCTAGGGATCCAGAGAACACATTTAGCATGCTATAGGAATTAGTGATCAGGAAACCAATACGATAAACAACTATATATATATATATATATATATATGTATGTATATATATATGTGCGATGACCATTAGGTAGAGAAATGATAAGAGGTTTATGCAACTATGAATACTTGTCTATATGGTCATACAAAGATTTTACATTACAAGCCCCTTGACTCATGACAGTAAGCTATGTACACTCTCCTAACTAATACATACGTAAGATCAATTTCGTTTTCAACGAAGCCATTGCACAATCTTTATGAAAGTCTTCTAACTTTACGAGTCGCCTTGAGATTCCATAATCTTCACGAAACAGCCCAGTGCTTTGGTCAAGCAGAATTACTTTCTATTAAATCCTCTTATCACGAAAAGCAAAGACAACATATACCAGATGAAGGTAGCATGCCCAAAGTTGGTGCCTTTGAAAGAATCTTGTCGAAAGTAATTTAGCGCATATTCGTCGAATTTTAGATTTCTATTGTACAAAATAAGTTTGTCCTTGTGAATTTTTCAACAAAAGCATATCTTATGATTACGAGTGAAAATCTAGAATAGATTGGCAAACAAATAAACTTATAGCTTTATGACTCCAATGCCATCACCTCCATCCTCACAACGGAATTATTCCCAGGAATCCAATTTGTATATGGACCGATTCTTCGGCTAAAGTAAATGATTAATTATATGCTGGTTTTTGAAATTTCACGTTTGGTAGACCACGAGATCTGAGCCACCTCTTCGACAAAATTCTTTCCAAGTTTTCACTTGAAAAGTTGGGCTTCAGGTCAACCCCGAATATTTCTTTATGCCATTGATTACTTGGTGAGAATCTCACTAACTTAAAGATCATTATCTTTTCAAGCTCAGCCTCTGCTTTCATCAGCAAATCATAATGGGATTTAGCCGAAAAATCTAGTTGCCGGATTCAATTTGTGCTCAATTAGGCCATTTCCTGATTACTCATCAGTCACCTATCTAGTTGACTCAAGCTCGGTGGAAATTGTACCCATTAACATATTCCTTAAAAGTCCATCCAGTCAGCTTGCTTGTAGATATGTGTTTTATTATTAAATGAAATGGGATACAAACAAAGATTGATATAACTAATATACATGTTTGTCTTTGACCCTGCAATCAAAGAGAGAAAAAGGGGTCGTGTTTGTAGTCAAGAAAAGAAAGGAAAAAAGAAAAAGGAAAAGAAAGAATGTTGCTGAAAATTGTAGAAATTAAAGAGTTCAGTTAAAGGGTTTCTTGCTCTAATTAAATATTCGTATGCTACAATTCCCACTTTACTTTCTGTTTATTTTAGTTAAATCTAGTGTCTTTTTAAAAGAATTCGCTCTAGAAATTTATCTGTATTCTATGTGTTTATAATTCTATATGTTAATTATGTTTTCACAGTAATTTTGGACTTCGATGTCTTAAACAATAATTTTGATAGTCCTAACTTATGCATCTTCAACAGAGATTGGATACAGAATTATCTAGTACATTTTTATTTATATCTGTGCTAAATTGTCTTAAAATTTTAAGATTCTAGAGGATTTACCATACTTAACCTTGATGGAAATGTGCAGTAACCCTCCCTCATTTGTTAGCCATCATCTCTCTCTCTCACTCTCTCTCTTCCATGCATGCACATATTGATATGGAGGGGGTCAGTGTTATCTTTATTACCCAAGCACTAAGATGAAGAATTGTGTCACAGCGTCACTATAAGAAAGCTTAAAGGCTAAGAAACTTCGTCCACTCACTTCAAGAACCCTAATTATTATAATGAATACAAAAAGAGAGATGCAAATTACAAAATAAAAATAAGAATAGAAATAAGCAAAACAAAAGCCTCCTCTCCCTTATCTTTTGCCTTCCCATCATCATCTTCTTTTTCTTTTTATCCTCCTCTTTCTCTCTCTCTCTCTCTCTCTCTCTAATCTCTCTTTTCTGTATATTATTCTCTTGTTTTTGATTCTCCACCCTCATATATTATCAAAAATTAAAACCCTTGAAAACTTTCTAAAAGAGAAAAAGAGAGATCAAATTAATTTAAACCATGGTTTTCTCGTCTGTTCCACCCTATCTTGATCACCACAATTGGCATATCCAGGTATGATCTTTAAGCTTCTCCCTTTGATGCATGATCCTCTTTCTTTTTCGAATTTTTTGTTTTAATTCTTCAGCCAAATGGAAAAGGAAAAGCATATATGTAAAAGGAAGATGATATATACATATTCTCTTCAAATCTCTTCTTGAATATACCATGTAGATATAGTACTATACCTCTTGTGAGTTCTTTTTTTGTTTGCTTACTTGTACATGTTTTTTTCTCAGCTGCAACAATCAAGCCATCAAGAAGCAAGAGTTGGTGGTGGCGAAAACCCTAATCTCCCACCACCACCTCCTCCTCCACAACCCGGTGGTGGAGGTGGAGGTGGTGGTGGGGGTGGAGAAGGTTCTATTAGACCAGGATCTATGGTAGATCGAGCAAGGATGGCCAAGCTACCCATGCCAGAGCCAGGATTAAACTGCCCACGATGTGATTCCACCAACACCAAGTTTTGCTACTACAACAACTATAGCCTCACGCAGCCTCGACACTTTTGCAAGACTTGCAGGCGTTATTGGACCCGAGGTGGTGCTCTAAGAAATGTTCCAGTTGGGGGAGGTTGTCGGAGGAATAAAAGGAATAACAAAAACAGAAGCTCAAAATCTCCAAGCCAAACCGGACCTAAATCTGTAAGTGAAAGTCCATCAAGGTGTAGCACGGAGACTATGGCAACTACTCATCTTCCTCATCCTCCCTCTCTTCAATTGCCATTCATGAGCTCACTGGGTCAATATGGAGGTGTTGGGGGCAATATTAGCTCAAATCTTGGTGGATTTCAGCCTCAAAATGAAATGGGTAATTTTCAATTAGGAAGTGGGAGCTCAACTGGGAATAATTTCAACAATATTTTATCAATTGGAGGGGTTGAAAATTGGAGATTGCCTTTCTTGGCTGGATTTGAGGTACCCAGTAACACTAATCTATTTCACTATCAAAGTGAAGGTGCAGCTGAAGCACCACCATTGTCGATGGTAGGAGGAGACATGCGATTACCAAACTCTGGGTTTGATAGTACTCATGAGGTAGATCCTCCAGTGAAGATGGAAGACAACCGAAGCTTAAATTTATCAAGGCAGTTTCTTGGTGCTTCAGAAACTTCTAATCAACAACCATGGGGGGGAAATGCATGGGCCGAATTTTCTGGTGTCAACAGTACTTCTAGTACTCCTACTACACATTTCTTATAATCTAGTTCGAATTTTCATGGAGGAGGGGAGGAGGAGATTTCTTCTCTCATCCAACTATGTGTTTCTAGTATGATTCAGCTCAAAGTTGCATGTAGCAGTCTTATAAGGGAAGTACTGAACTGAACTTGGATCATTCAAACCCTAGGTAGCTAGAAAGGATGTAATATGGACTCCAGGTCAACTAATTAAGGGTTCAACATATCAAAGTTTGATCCTTTGCCAAAGAAGGAGAACTAAATGGTAGGTTTACTTTGTATGTTGAGTTTAATTTTACAGCATTATATGATGTTTGTTAATCTTATTAATGTGTTTGAGAGTTCACCTGTGTACTTTTATATGGAATGTACCTATAATTTCTTTGTAAGTGTGTGCTATTTTGCTAATTATGTATTACTTGTTTGCTAAGAATAGTCTCCTATTTGGATTATGTACCAAATCATTACTTTCAAGCTTCAAGAATGAAGCCATATTCATCCCGAATTGGGGCCTAATCGTAGCATAATAGATCACATATGTGCATTTGACGCCTTCTATGGGTTTCTGTAACAATTACTTATACACCACAACCTTGTTTTTAAAGCTTCAAGAGTGAAGACATCTTCATCCCCAATTTGGGCCTAATGATAACATATGAATCACATTTACGCATTTCACACCTGTGAGTTTATAAATACCAAAACATGTGATATTCCTAAAATGCATGTATGTGAAAGATTCTTCGAGACAACTCATCATATGTATTTTGAACAATATTGTCGATCTATCAAGTACAAGAAATGATATAAGCATGTATACTAATATAGGTAATATTTTCAGATTTGCTCAATTGTTGGCTAGGAATTTTTGTAGACAACTATTAAAGTTTCCTGTATAGTTATTCTTGGTGTCAGTACTCATATTTCCTAGTGAACCAGAATGATATGGAAACAATGAATGCAAGAGGGTTTACCCTTCTTGTGGAAAGTGAATATATGTGAGCATAGATTTAAAACAAAAGATCCAGATGATTATAAGGTTGTAAGTACCATCATAGGTTTTATCTAAAAGAAGTACAATCTAGAAGTTTTACCAACAAGGTATTCAGATTAAGGGGTTGTTTGTTTACCTCTTAATAGTTCCATTAAAAGGCAATTTCTGAATCGTTAAGAGTTGAATCTTGTTTGGCAAAAAAAAAGTATGCCTCTTAATGGTTCTAAAATCCTCTGAATGATTTTGTATCATGAACCTCCCTTAACCATTAAGAGCCCTAATTTCATTGTAAACAATTATCAAACAATTATATTTCATTTTACACTATATCATGAGAGCCTCTTAATCATTCTGACCACTTAATGATTTTGCACAAAACCATTCAACAACTGTCAAACAGTCCGTAACCCAACCCCTGCTTCTGAACACGTCCCTATAATATGCCTCTTGAACCATTTTTTGGTCTTACAAATGCTACAAATAATTTATTTTTCTAGGGAAAGAAACATATAATCCATCTCTTCCTTAGCTCAATTTCAAAACCCTAACTCATTTTCAATACTACGATTAATAAAATCAGTTAGGAAAATAAAAGGAGAACAAGAAAATGGGAAAAAGAAACATGTAGGTTAATAACTTGTGAAATGGTCATCATGGAGCATATATATATATATGTATATATATATATATATATATATATATAATATGTAAGTTGGTAATGATAATGCAATAATAGGACAGAGAGTGAAGTGCAGCGCAATAAGACAATGTTAAGTGCAATCTTTAGAGAAAACGTCAAGAATCCACTCAAAACCATGCAACTATTTAACCCTTGACCTCTAGCTCAGAAAGAAGAAAGATTTTGAAGATGACGGAGCAGAAGAGCATGGATTATGAGGTCAAAAAGAATATATTTGGTCTCCTTCACATTTTGAGGAGAAAGCAAGCATTCTCTCTCTTCTCTGTGACAAAGGTAAAGGAGTACGTAGTTTGAGAGCAAATCCTGGACTGATAAACGAGGAAAAACAAAAGTGAAATGAAGGGTGATTGCTTGAAAATGGAAGAAAGAAAACGAGAGAGAGAATGTGTGTGTGTGTGTGATTGTTTGTAGTCTAAAAAGAAAGGAAAGGAATCTGGCAAGGATAGATATTGCTTTATTGAAAGTACCAACGCCTCCATTAAAGCTTTATATGCCCAGCCCAACCCATGGAACCCTAAGCACTTTCTACCCTTTAAACCACCCCAAACAGAAATAAAGCAATTATATATACAGAAAAGGTGGCTTCATAGGTGGCTTAAAACACCATGGCATTGTTTTGTTCAGTTGGAAGTCATCAATACAAAGTTTTTTAAGGTACAAGTATGGAACAAATCAAAGGGGTAGTCATTTTTTTTCAAACAATTTGAAGGAAGAAAGATTGTTGTTAGCAAATCAATATTTTTACCAACTTCTAGAGGGCTTTTTTTTAGGAGTCGTTTATCAAACGTTTATAGATAAAAATCAATATTTTTATTTAACTACTTCATCGGGTAAGATTCTCGGCAATCAAAATGACATAGTAGGCAACAATTTGTCTAATAAGTGTTAACCGGGTGAGAATCATTACCCTCGCTTTTACGATTTTTTATCATGTTCATCTGGTAAGACAAACAACATGGTAAGCATTTGTCCGGTTAGTGTTTAGTAAACAACGCTTAGTCGAATAAAACGTCTTGCTTTCTTAAAGAGAAGACAAAGAGGATGACCTGGGGATCGTTCTTACTTAGAGAAATTCTCATAAGCTGTCTTGAGCTGGTAACTCCAAAATTGATGATTCTTAACCACACACTTGTTGCTTTCACTTCGAGCGTTATGGTTAACAAAAAAATGAATGTTGTTTAGCAACATCAAGATACATTTGTTATTTAATTGATTCATGGTCCAACAATTTTTATTTTATTTTATATGATACGTTGATGATTTAATGTTATAAATCAATATGTTGTAATTGTGATTTATACGAGATCGATAAGGTTTTTGGTTAAGCTATAATATGGGTTAGTAGATACATGTGAAGTAAACATCGGTATAAACTAACTTAAACTTGATCAGATGGAATAAAGTGTGAGGGGGCCACACGCACCCCTTGCGGTGTCATGAGCTCCATGACCAACCAACATTCAAAAGATTAAGTTTAGAAAGCAAAGGCTATTTGATGTTTAGAATGCTAGCCTCTGTCGACTAACTTTAGAAAGCTAGTGTATGGAGGCTAGTCGTCGAAGACTAACTTCAGAAAACAAACCTTTAAAGGACTAACTTCTAAATCGATTATGGTCTAATATGGTGAACCATCTTTCGTATTTCGCAACTATTTTAGTGCCTATATAACTTCTTTCAATTCCCGCCAAAATTAAATGCCGATTAACTTATGTTCATATAAGTAGGTCCAATCTCAATTTACAATTAATATACGGGAAAATACAACAGAATCTCAAGTTTTTGAGTATCCTACAGTGAATTTCGTGGTACCCAAGGCTGTGGAGAAAAAGTCAAATGTTACTGTCAAAAAAGCTTCGTACACGATCTATATTTCTATCCAAGTTTTTATCAATTGCTATATCACCGAACACAAAATTATAATATGATATGAATAAGTGATTGTGGTATTGTATACTAGAATTAGGGTTTGGATATAAAATACAGAATGAGAAATTAAAGAATTCGACTGGCTCACCAAAAATAAATATATGTTCATAATCGATGGTTAGGATAAATGTTTGATTACATCAGTTACTCAAGATTGGTAGTTTAAATATATTTGTAATAGTTATATTATGCTAATACGTAATTTTTGTACTGAGTTTTTCTAATAAAATTTTATGTAATCAATAACAGGAGGTTACGCTTATGGCATGCCATAACAACAACAATTCTCATCCAAAAACACATCGCATTATTGCGTTGCTTAAAAACATATACACAAACATGTTTAACTAAAGATGATGTGAATGCTTTAAAAATAACATCGTTATTAAATTATCATCGTTTTCATAAAAAATTCATTATCATTTTGGTTATAAGCGTATGTAGTGTGTGGACATGCATAGATATGCATGCTTTCCGTGATCGTCATTGCTAAAAATGGATCGTACAAGAATTTCTTGATGCACGTTATGTTCTATTTTCGTATACGATCGATCGTCGATAACTAAGTTCGGATCATGGAAGAATTTCTTGAAATTGTGAAAAATAATCCTCCCATTGTTAGATCTTGTTTTCCGTGTACTGTTTCAAATAGTACGTATGGAACCCATATAGACTACTTTTGTTTAGGGACAAAGATTCGAATCAGCTTTTTGCACTTTTTCCTTCTTTTACATTCATTCTACTTGAAAACAGTAATGTTTTTATCCCTTTAAGCTCATTCAATTAAGTTTAATATCATTGCATCACTAAAGCCTTTAACTTTGGATCTTTGTCGTAACTCTATTCAACTCATATACATATACATATATATATACATATACATATATATATACATATATATATATATATAGGGGCTAGTTCAAATACTAACCAAGATTATCGTGTTAACTTTATTAACCGATCTTGGTCATTGATTTGAACATCCAACGGTTATCATTTATTGAGACTAAAAATTTAATTATTTAATTACCATATTAATAAAAAATTAGGTTCACAATGGTTCAAAGGGTAGAATTGTAAAAAATGAATGATCTTAACGTATCATATTTTGTCAGTTTATTCTGTAACTTCCAATCAATAAAGAAACTGTCAATCTCATCGATCAATATCTTAAATCAGTAGCTAAAAATTAGGTTCATAATCTTCATCAAAACAATGGAGGATTTGGAAGGATTACCAGGCGACGACATCCAGATAAGATTGAAACATGTGTGTGAACCTAATGAACAATGTGTGAACCTAATGAACAATTGAAAAATTAGGTTCATAATCTTCATCAAAACAATGTGTGAACCTAATGAACAATTGAAAAATTAGGTTCATAATCTTCATCAAAACAATGTATGAACCTAATGAACAATTGAAATATGTGTGTGAACCAAATTGACATATTGTGTGAACCAATTGAACACATATGTGCACAAGTGAACACTATGTCGACGTTTGAGTGAACATGTGCATGAACGGTTTGATCATTTTCTTCACTTTCGGAATTCGAATTCCGAATGTATTCGTAGACGCTTTTAGCTTTTTCATTCTTATTGTGGTCGATCTGTTTTACTCTATGATTATCCATATTACTCGGACTATAACGGAATCTTTACAAAAAGGACTGTTTTGAAATTTACAATATCAAAACCATTGGAAGAATGAAATGTAAAAATC